TAGAATCATAAAAAGAACTCACCTCCATTTGGCATAGTTACGACTGAAAAATAAACATTAGGGTTTTAAGGCATGATGATGTCATCTAACCCAAAGGATGACATCATCCCTCAGCACAATTCCTGCACACCTTTTTTGAATATCGATCCCCTCGTTTTTCTCTTTTTACTCTGATACTAAGTTGAAACTAAAGTAGAGATGAAAAATAGTTTGGGAAGGATCTAGAGAGAGAAAGCAAGGAAAGAAAATAAAGATGGAGGAAGGAGAGAGAGACGTGTGAGAGATAGAGAGGGAAAGAGAGTGGCGTAGAGGTCTACCACTCTTATAAAGTTAAGTAATAACCCTAATTACAACTTTTGGACGATATGCCTTATTTAGGACATAAGAAACAAACGATAAATGACAGTTATATCCATCAAATACAATAAAGTTTATTCTTTTTCTTCGGTGAGGATCCTATATTATCTATGGAGACCAGCAAGGTGAAGACAAGGAGCGTCAAGGATATGATGGTGTTAATAAGGATGTTTCTCTTGATATTTTGCCTGGATATGGGGTATCATGTGAGATGCCCCAAAGGTTGGGATATTTCTCTATGTGCTCTTTGCTAGTGAGTTCAATATAAAAAGTGCCTATTTTTTTGGGGTAAGTGGGGAAGAAGGTCCCCTACCCTTTTTTTATTTAATAAAAAGCAGAGAAAAACAATTAAGATACAACCCTATGGAAGGGCAATTGCACCAGATCATGTAATAAAAAAGAGGAAAGAAAACCTGGTGGTCTATGGTGCCACACAATAGCATCGGGGCCAACAGCTGCCCTCTTAGCTATGGCATCAGCAACCATGTTAGCCTCACGAAAGACATGTGTAATGGACCATCGATGAGAAGACAGTCTAGTGCAACAATTGTCTACAATCGTCTTTAGCCTCCATGGAGCATGGCATCGATTCTGAATGACATTCACAAGCAAGGCCAAATCACTTTCAATTTGAATTGGAAAGCAATTATTTTGAATAACCAATTGAATTCCTTCCTTGAATGCCAAGAATTCCACATGGTTATGACAAGCAAAACCAAAATGCTTTGTGAAAGCACCAATAAAGCCTTGCGCACTGTTCCTAATAACTCCTCCACCACCTGCTAAACCTGGATTTCTCAAGGAAGCACCATCAATATTGAGTTTGTAATTATGAGTCTCAGGAAAAGACCACGCTATCGAAGTAAAGAACTCAGCCCTCTGTTGCTGCCAAGTTATCCGAAGGTTACCAATGATGGCTTTTTCTGATAAATGAAAGACCACTTAACTTCTGCTAGTGCCTGAACATGTAGGGTAATCCTTTTCACAATAAGCTCTCTCCTGGTGGGTCTTGACTCAAAAACTCTGTTATTGCGCTCTTCCCATAGAAACCAAATAGCAGTAAAAAAGATGGAAGACCAAATATTACGAAGTCCATTTGATTTAAACCTAAAATGTAACCACCACCTAAGTAAATCAGGGATAGAGGTATCGTGGACAAACCTTTTTCCACATCTCCAAGCGAGTGATCTCCATACACCTTGCGCAAAGGCACATTGGAATAATAGATGAAAAAGATTGCCATCATGGCTACTACAAAGGGACATAAGGAGTCCAGTTGCATGCCTCCTTGCTGTAATAAGAATGAAGTGGGCAATCGATTATGCAAGGCCAGCGATGAGAACCATTTCGCCCTTGGGTGGCATTTGGAGGACCAAAGAGCACGAAAAATAAGTTGTGAAGAACCTTGATGCCTAATAAAATCCTATGCCCTTTTAATAAAGAATGATCCATCAACAGAATGAATCCAAACCAGTGAATCCTTCTTGGGCTGTAGAGGGAGAGTATAATTCTCAACCTCTCTCCATATATTTCTAATAAAAACAGATGTGGAATGTGGCAGAACCCAAGCTCGAGGTATTCCTTCGATAAAGTTTGAAACCCTCTACCTTACAGCAGCCCCCAAATATTCTTGAATGTTATCATCGTAGAAATCTGAAAGTGATTGACCTGCTAACCATGGGTCCATCCAAAAATCCACCATCTAACCATTACCAATAGTCCAATATACATTGCCTCTCAACTGGAACAAGCCAAATAAAATCCCCTTTCATGCATGAGAACATCCTCTTCTGCCTTCAGCCTCCCAAATAGAGGAATTTCTAAAATATCGATGTTTGAAGAATCGTGCCAACAACGAGGATGGATTTTCCAAAATTCTCCATGCTAACTTCATCATTCTTGCGATATTGAAATCCGTCATATCCCTTACCCCAAGACCTCCTTCAGCCATTGGGAGGCACACTGTTTTCCATCTTATAAGATGAACACCTTTTTTTTCTGCTTCACCTGCCCATAAGAAGTTTCTCTGTAGTCTCTCTATCATATTACATACTTTCTTTGGGAGAATGAAGGATAACAACCAGATAACCGATGAAGCCCCCAGTACAGACTTAAGCAACTGAAGTCGACCGGCATATGAGAGGCATAAAGAAAGTGCCCATTGAATGGTTGATTATGCGATTCCTGATGATGGGGTTTAGCTTCAGCCATTGTTGGGTTTTGAGTGGAGAATCCCTATATCTAATCATTATGTGCAAGCTGAAGGAAATCTGGGAAGTAATGCAACATTAATTTTGAGCCGCTTTGAAGTTTGTGATAGAGTATTCTCCGATGTGTTCAGGGCGAAGTATGTTGTGCTTATGTATTACAAATATGGTTGTTCCCAAGGGGCCCAAAACATGGCTGCTCCAATATCTATGGGGGTGTAGTAATATGGCACGCCTTGATCTCAAGTCTCGTTATGTGGGAGATTGGGTGATGGTGTACCTCAGGAAGGAAAGGCATCTAGTAGGTAAGTACAACAAGTTGAATGGTTGTAAGGCAGGACCGTTCATGATTTTAAAGAACATGGGTAGCAATGCTTACTAGGTCACTTTTCCTTCGCATATGGAGACTTCAGATGTCTTCCAACTTTGCTGATTTGTCTGAGTATCATGGGCCAAAGATGGATGAAGATGAAGGTTCTAACTTGAGCTCAAGTATCCTCAAACTGTGGAGAATGATAATGCGCATAGCACGTCAAGTGGCCATACAGACGGACGAGTATTCTCTATGGGAGCAGCAGATTCCTCCCAATTCTCATGCATATTTGGAGGATGTGAGCCCTAAAAGGGAAACCAAGAAAAACAAGAAGAGCAAGCATTGTTTGGGATAATTTTCTAGCTATTTTAGGGTTATTTTCAGTCCTCTTTGGATTGTTGGACCAGTGGGGACTTTTATCATTTTATCTATAGTTAGTGTCATTCATTTTAAAAATCACTTGAGGTTGGACATATGGTCAATTTATTATTTGTATGGTCACTTCTTGTCCTTAGATCATTAAATAATATATTAAGAGGTGTGTGAGGCCTAGAGAGGGGTCATTCCACGTGATTTTTCTTGTTTTCAGAGAGAGATGAATACGGGAAAGGAAGTTTTTTGTTTCCTTGTTAGGATTTGAGGAAGAAACCCTTTCTTCTACTTGTTGCATGTGTTTGGCCTGAATTACTGTTGTTTTGTTCTCCTTCAATTTCCCTACACCAATTGCCTAGTTAATAGGTTCTCATATATCAACCACTGGATACTATCTTTTTATCTTCTAATGGTGTAGTAAGTTGGCTATATCTCAAAATCATAGCGAACACATGTAGGAGGTAGCTTGGAATTTCGCTATGAGCTTTCCTTTCAATTTTGGAGTTTATATTTGGTTGCCTACAGCTACAAATTGTTACAATTTCAATGTTATATCTATTGTTACCAATTTAATTTTCATTGTCAAAAGAAACATTGAAACACTCTGAGATAGAATGTATCTCTTTCCTTATAAATTTCTTGGTTGTTTTATCTCATTGCCTCGTTATCTTTGCTATAGATCAATATGTCCTATTCAAAAATGTCATGACTTGGGATTTACATCATTGTTTAGAAGAAAAATCTCCATGCATGTTCTTAATGTTCCTGGTTGTATTTTTCTGAGGTTGTTGGATTGTTTTGACGCCTATAATCTCTGTACAGTACGTTATATTGTGTACTGTATATTTTCTGTTATATGGTTTACAGCCTTTGTTGTGCTGATCATTTTCCAGTACTACAATGCTTATATGCTGCATTCCAATTCTAAGTGTTCATATTGCCCAAGAACTTGTAGGTCCTTTGGTTATTGAGTCTTCCATAGTACTTGCTCTTACTTTCTGAAGAGTAAGAAAAATGGCGGTGTCTTGATATTCTTTAGTGAAGCAAAGCACCATGATATGTAGGACTTGAGTGTTTGTCTTTACATACCTCCACCTTGTTTCCATTTAAATTACTTTAAATCTGATCTTTTGTGTATAACATAGTTGAATGTCATTTCTTCTAGTATTTCTGGTTTTATTTCAATACTTTATTCCTCCCAAATAGATCAATTTTCTCGTAGAACTCATGATTTGGGATTTATATTGGTGTGTATCAGCTTGCATTTTCTGCTTGATATACATCAGCTAGATTTTTTTTTTCTTAATTATTCCACGCGGAGTGGGGGGGAGATTGCATATTATTCAAAGCATGTATGTTATGCATCTTATTACTATATTTTATTGTAATATGCAAGTGGATCCTTTGCTTTTGTGTGTTTTTTTGCTCTTATTTATGTTGCAGTTTTCAAAGAGGCATATTCTTATTTGAACTTGATTATATGGGAAAAAATCAATTCCTCACTTCAAGCTAATGAGATTTTATTTGACACTGTTCCAATTCAAGGGATCTTTTTGGTTTACAGTTAGCCTTAAGAAAAGGGAAACTTTTAGTTTACGATGATGCTTTCGCATTTCATGCTTACCTTTATTGGTCAACAGCGATCATCTGATATTTTGGATCTATACTTTATACATATTTTCTTGGTGGTTTTTTTCTCCTTGAATGTTAATTATGTTACACTTCAGCAATCTCATTGGTCTCTATTGTAGGTGAAAGACTTCAGATTCCATTCTGAATATTCTTGGGGGGGTTGTCAAATCAAAGTTTGGTTTGGGAAGGTCGAGAGTCTTTCTGTGTACTTCATAGAGCCCCAAAATGGGTAATGTTCTTATTTCATTTTCCTTGTATAAATACAAATAATGCATCATTTACTCAATATATTACATTTATTCATTATTAATTAAATCTAGTAAAATTATGGCATTTTTATGATAACGTGTGCAAACCTCATGCAGGCTGCTCAATTTCCTATAAGCATGTATATTATTCACTTTTTGTACTGGATTTAATGCCAGTAGTTTCTTATGGAATAATGATTTTTCCTTGTAAAATATTAATAGGATTATTATATATTAAACATAATGAGATGAAAGGAAAACCAGATGTTTGGGTTTGAAGGGATGGCACTCTTATGTTGCCATAAATTCTTAAGTTTCTCTTTTTGACTTGTTGGGTCAAAATGCCCGGGTTTGCCCTTTACAAACATGAATACCTTATAAAGCCCGTTACTCATGAACATATAAGAAAGTATTCAAACAATTATGACAATTCCCATGGATGTCTTCTATCATAAACGCTGCATATGGAATTTTATTATCATGAACATTATCTCGATAATCTCATTTAACATGCCCATAATCCATACCATCTCCATATTAATGGATGACCAGCAGTATTTTCTGACTCCACATTGGCTATATACCTACAGCAGTGGATGCCTTTCCTTTTACTAATTGACTATATTGCACCCAATGGAGTACAAATAGTTACATCGACTGGAGAAAATGACTACCATAATATAACTTTATCTCAGCGTGATATTGGTCACAAAATCCTTGGGTCTGCATTGTACTTATTTTTGGTATGATTTTTATGCAAATTGACTTAAACAATCCCTGCTGCATGTGATAATGACTAGGCTGGTTTATATAAGGTAGATAAAACTTTCAAGAATCCTTAACATCTTGTTGGATCATTTTGTTCGGTTCTAGCATATGGCAGCTTGTGATATTGTTCATAAGGAATGTATGTTGTTGTCTCATTATAGTCCACGCCTCACTAGTACAGTTATTGCATACTCTCTTTTGAACTAAATATCCTTGATCTGACCAAGCTATTGATATATGTGTACATGTATGTATGTATTGCGTATTTGTTCATAGATGCTTATGGATATTTTAGTCTTCCCTACATCAAACACAATGTATATAAGGGTAAATCCATGTTGTACTTTATGAAATCGATTTAGAAGAATCAGTCTTATTCTGCATCATTGCTAGGATTTTCAAATTTTAACATGGTATTAGAGCTAGGCTTGGACCCCTAGCAACTAAAACCCTAATCTATATGTCGTTAGTGAATCAAACAGATATCAGTACTCTATGAGGAGTCAACCTTTGAAATCTGATAAAAAATCCTTGTTCTCAGTTTAAAGACCTAGGTTTGAAACCTTCCTTTGGCAATATTTGGAATATGTGCAGCATCAACGTGTATCAATATAGCTCAAAAATTTGTTTTCCAGGACTAGATCTAAGAAATTGAGTTAAAAACTCATCGAATCCCTAGAATTGTATAGAAACCCTTGAATCTTTCTTGAAGAGTCTCCAATATGTGTAATATTGAATGCATGACAATCCGAGGAGCAAATCCATAACATTTTGTAGGGATTTCAGCTCTCTCGCCATTTGGAACAATGTATAACCCAAACACTAGGGTTTCTACAGAGTAACAGCCATAACTTCATCGATACATCCAATTCGCCTCACATGGGAGCCATTGAAAAGCTCAAATAGAGGCTTCTTAATGGTCGTCTTCATTTAGATATCTCTATGAGCCCTCAGTCTATATTGTATCTTTTCTCGTCTGGTCTGCTGCCTACATGTGCTATTTACGGACTTCAAACTCCTCAAGCTTGGACCTAGGATTAAGATGTTTTGTGACATTGTGCTGCAAGTGGCTTTTAGACTGTTCATTGAATTCTCTTATAATTTGTTAGTGTAGTGGTCAAATAGCCATTCTTCTATTAGATGTTGTTGACATTGTTATTGAAAGGTGTGCTATGTAGAACTAAAGGTATTAAATTCAAAAAACAATTCTTTTATTTTTATTCCAAATACTAGAATCCTACTTACATGGGCCACAATATGTTGCTGGACAATTAAAACAATGTTTTAGATACAATTTAAGATCTTTATTTTTATTGCCAAGAGAAATACAAACTATACAGGAACTTTTAGACTAACTTTATTACAATTTTTAGCACAAAATAAGTTCCTGAAAATTTACAGAAAATAAAAAATAATTCTGAAAATAAATAAAAATTAATGGGAAGACTTGGAAGATGCCTGGAGTTACCCTACTAGGACTTGGTATACCCCACACCTGATTCCCTGACCAATGACGCACTTTTACTCCTTAAGGTGTTGCTGAAAATTTTAAGATAGGGAAGCTTTATAAGAAATACTTCTTTCTCTAGGGTTTTAGAAAGCTCAAAAATAAACTAGGGTTTATAGAAACCCTATGGGAACAAAATAGGTTGATCTTGGGAGTTGATCTCTCTAGGCTAGGCTTCTCTCTTCATTCTTCAGAAAAAACAACAAACATATTTTTAATTCCTCCTCTTCTTCTCCTTCAAAAATAAACTACTCAAAATAAAACAAGAGAGAAGGAGAGGGAGAGTACGTGACCCTCTAGGCCGGAGAGAGGGTGGCGTGATGGCCAGATATAGGAGAAAGAGAGAGACGTGAGAGAGAAGGTGGAGAGAAAAGTGTCGTGGTGGAGAAAAATCTTGAGCGTGAGAGGGAGAAAGACTTTTTGGCGTGTGAGAGAGAGAGTGGATCTCTTTGGAGAGAAAAGATCTTGTGACCATTTGAAATAGGTTCAAATTTGGTTTTTAAATAGAAGGAAATCTAAAAGAAATCCATCTCTTGGTTTGAATAGGATTTCTTCTCCTAGTTTAAATAGGATTCCTTCTCATATTCTCTTATCTAATTTTCAGCAAAAACCTTTTAAGGATAATTAAGAAATATGTGGGGTGAGAGATTAATCAGAGCCATCCATTCCAAAAATCAGTCATCATGATTTTGGATGGAAAATTAGGAACCTTATCCCCTTACACTTTGACCCAATCCACCTCCTATTTAAAATATAAATCCAATCAAATTTGAACTTTTATCTAGATCTTTCATTTAAGTTTGAAATCAAACTTATAAGAAACCAAATCTCATTAGATTTCCCATATTAGCTTAGTTTAAAATTTAAACTATATCATAAAAAGATTGGTATGGGGTGTGCCCCTCCTTTTTCCTAAACAAGAGGCGTCCCCCCCCCCGCCTTTTGCTTAAAAGGTGGCGTGGCCACATACGCTTTACAAATATAGGGTGTAGTCCCTAAGGTGCACTTGGTTCCACATGTGGGGTTGGATTCTTGGTCCTACATGTGCTATTTAAAATTTCTCCTACATGTGCTATTTAAAGTACTGAAATTTTTAAAAATACCCTTTTATGAAAATATACAACAGAAATAATATTTTAAAATTCAGAAAAAATATTTAAAAAAATAAAGAAACATATATAATACCAAACTAAAATATACTAGGAGTGGACTAGTATCAATGGTTCAAAATAAACGATAATAACAGCACTCTACTCGCTCTAGAAACCACGATCCATAACTGTTATCTTATCCAACCCATCAAAATTTTATGACCCACAGTCTTTTTGCAAGGGGCTCATGATTGGCTTATCAAAGTTGGATAGTAAACAGTGGGACCATGATTCTGGAATGTGGATTTCAGTTCTCCTTTTAAGAGCAAGTTTAGCACTTATCACTATAGTGCAAAGGGGGCTCTCTCAATGCACATGTACACGTGTCCCTCTAAAAGGTTGCTTCCCATGCGGTTGGCTGTCATGTGTATATGCTGTGTGGAATTTGTTGAGGATTTGGTTCTTGCTCTCACAGGCCTACAACCGCACAAAGGGGACCACTTAGTTCTCCTGGCATACAAACATGATCCCTGGGCATTTCTCTGACTTCAACAAGGGATGACGGACTGCAAACCCTTCTCGGTTGTGCCGTATTCCCAGGGCTAAGGGTTTTAGACATGACCAGGGTCATAAATGGCCCAACCCTTGGTCAATCAACACATACACTCCCATTGAAGTGCATATTCCACTATGCATATTATTTTTACAAGCTCTTTAAGCCTTTAGAAGCCACAAAAAATCCAACATCTCCCACTGGGCCTTTGAAAGCCATACAATCACTCCCTCTAAATTTCTTTCAAGCCCATCCCATGTACGTGTTTGGCAAAAACATTTGCCACTAGTCCTTTTTTTAAAAAAGGATCTGCTAACGTGGTCTTTGTCGAGCAATATGCAAATTGAATCTGTCTTGCTCAGATGTTCTCATTGCGAATGTGGTAGTAGCTCGGCTTTTTATGCCTCAATTTCTTGTGAAACCTTGGCTCTTTTGATACGCAAATAGTTGTCTGCTTGTCGTAGAAGATTCTAACAAATAGGCACTTTACTGGATCAAATCTGAGTTGATTTCGAAACTTCTTCAACTAGACTACTTCTTTAGACGCGAAACAACATGCCACATACTCTGACTTCATGGTAGAGTGCAAGTATGTCCTGTTTCTTTGAACACCAAGAAACAATTCACATGCAAGCGTGAAGATATAGCCGGATGTGGACTTACTTTCATCTGGATCGCTTGATAGTTCGCATCTGAATATCCTTGTATTTGTATATCTGAGCCTCCGCGATAAGTGAGTGCGTAATTAACGGTTCCCTTCAAATATCGCAGTACTTTTTTGATGGCCTTTCAGTGCTCCATGCCTGAATTACTGTGGAACCTAGTAATCACAGCTCATGGCAAAACATAAAGCTGGTCTTGTCCATGACATAGCATACATTAGTGACCCAACTTCACTTCTGGATGAAATTCTCTGCATGCCTTTCTTCTAGTAGTGGGACACATGGCTAGGCTAAGCTTGGTCTTCTTTTCAATAGGGGTTAATATGGGTCCCCAATTTTCCATTTCAAAACTTACAAGAATTATCTTAACCAGCTTTCCTGGAACACTTTTATTCATAGA